ATTTCACTTAGAAGCATATCTGTTAAAGGGAGGGATAAGATAAGGATGTCTGATATCATTGCTACTATTCAATCTTATACAGGGTCCTAGCCAATGCATTCAGGCAAAAAAAAAAAAAAATGCACATAGTATACAGGTTGAAGACAAAGAGACAAAACTATCAATATTTGCACATAATCTGTTTGCCTACCTAGAAAATCCAATAGAATCAATGAACGAACTATTAGAAATAAAGCAGAATTCAGCAAAGTTGTTGGACACACATGATTTCATAGAAAACCCAATAGTTTTCTTATATACCCATAATAATTATAAAACGAAAGAAAAAATCCTGTTAATAGTAGCAACAAAAACTATAAAGTATCTAGAAATGACCCAAACAAGGTATGTTCAAGACATATTATAAGACAGAAAATTATAAAACTTACTAAAGAACTTAAAAATTTGAATAGAGAGCCATGTTTATTCATAAAAAGGAAGACTCAATGTAAAGATGCAAATTCTCCCCAGTTAAATCTATAAACTCAGTACAATGGCAACAAAATCCCCAATAAGATTCTATATGGGTATGATGATCTCACTCTAATATCCTTATAAAAAAGTAAATATGCAAGAATAACAAAAAAATTTCGAAGAAAAAAGGAGGCTCTTTCCGTGCCAGATATTAAACATGTTATAAAACTATAGAAATTAAAAATGTGGTATGAATGCAGGTATAAATAAATGAATCAGTAGAACTGAATAGAGAATCCTGAAATAAACCTAAGTATGCATAAAAATCTAGTATTGACTAAAGATAGCATTTAGAAGTCAGTAGCGAAAGGAAAGAGAGAGGCACGTACAAGGATTTATATTGCAGTGCGTTTTATATTAACAAAAAAGTTGGAAATAACCATGTCAGTGGGGAAATCGCTACACAAATTATAGCCTATCTATTCTGTAGAATACTATGCAACAGTGAAAAAGGACAAGTTAGATGTATATGTACTAACATGAAAATTTCTCAGACATAATGAGTGAAAGCAAGTAGCAAAGCAATACATATAAGCACAATACAATTTATAGTTTTTAATAACACTAAATAATACTATATATTCTGTGTGTATGAGGAAGAGAGAGAGAGAGGGAGGGAGGGAGGGAGGGAGGATGTTTGCAAATGAACAGAAAAAGTCTAAGAGAAAATAAGCCAAACAGTGAGTAGGGAGGAGGAAGGGCAGGGAGGAAATCAGTGACAGAAGCTTTTAGCCTTCCCTTTAAAACTCTAATCCTTTGAAAGAAAAGTGTATATATTCATGTGTCATATGTGAATTAAGTCAATAAATAAGAAATTTAAAAGCAGCATAACAATATGAATGACTCCAGTTATGTAAAAAATTCTATATGTGTATAAGTACTTCTTTTTTTTTTTTTTAAAGATTTTATTTATTTATTTGAGACAGAATGAGAGAGAAAGAGAGCTCATGAGAGGGGGGAGGGTCAGAGGGAGAAGCAGGCTCCCCGCCGAGTAGGGAGCCCGATGTGGGACTCGATCCCGGGACTCCAGGATCATGACCTGAGCCGAAGGCAGTCGCTTAACCGACTGAGCCACCCAGGCGCCCCAGTACTTCTTTTTTAATATAAATGCATGGAAAGGATACCATAAGGATATTCACCAAACTGTTGATGGTTTTGTTTTGTTTTGTTTTTTGGTGGGATGACAAATAGGGAGGGAGCAGGAAAGGCAAGTTTCAAAATTCATTCTCTCTATACCTGTATATTGTTCTGATCTTTTACCATGAAAATATACTTATATATTACTGAGTAATTAAAAAATAAAGACATGGAAAAAGTCAAAGACACACTGTTAAGTGGAAAAAGCCAGTTGCTATATTTTATATATATAATTATATTGTATACAAATACAACAACGTATACATATATGTGTGTATATATACATACATATATTCTAATGTATACACACAAAAGTACAAACTAGATTTTCACAATTTACATACTTCTGTGTTTGATTATTTTTTATGAGCATATAGTTATGCATTACTTAAGAAATATTGTAATAATTTTCCAATAAGTACATGTATCAGATCATTATGTTCTACACCTTAAACAATGTTATATCTCAATCATATCTCAATAAAACTGGGGGGGGGAATTAACATACAAACAGAGAAATCTGATTATGTCATTCACCTAATTAAAACCCTTTAATAGGTGTAGTCCCATTGCTCCTAGAATAAAACCTAAAATAATTCAGCCTCAGCTCCCCGCCTTGCTTAATATGCCCTAGTCATAGGAGATGCCTGTCAGTTCTTCAAGTCCCTTATACATATTCTACCTTCAGGTCTCTGCACATGCTTATTTCCTCTACTTGGGACACTTCCTCCACGCACCCCTCATCCGCCTCTATCTACCCCAACTGATCCTTCAGTTCTCATCACTTCCTCAGGGAAGCCTTCCCTGACATTTTGGACAGGGTCAGGTCCTCCTGCTATAAGCCCTTATATACCCCCCCTTTTTTTCCCTTTATAGCTCCTTTCACAGTCTGCAGTCTTCTATTTTTGGGTGGGATTATTAATGCCAATTATCACTCCCCCTTGACTGGAAGCTCTGTGCGATTAGGACTTTTGTCTGTCCTGTTATATCCTGACATCTAGCAAGAGCTCAGTAAATATTTGCAAAATAAATGACTGCTCCCTGTTCATCAGGGTGGACCTTGGCTTTGGCACTTGCTCCATTTTCCTCTCCATTCCAATCCCTGCCATCATATAAGCAACCTCAATGACTACGGATGACTAACCCAACACTCGAGCTTCACTGTCCCTTGATCTCTACTTTTGCAATCCCTGATCACATGTCACTTCACATGCCATTTCTAGCCATTAGTTTTCCAGACCACCTGTTAAACATGGGACTGTTCCTCTTCAGAATTCCTGAACTCCACTCTCTCAATCTCTGGCTACAAGCTCCCACCCTTATTAGTTCTGGGTGCTCAGAATACCCACTCCTCATTCTCATCAAGATCTCCCATCCTTTGACTTCTCCCATTCTCCAGCTCATTCCCACCTCATCCCTTTACTCCGTAGCCAGTCTAGACTCCATGGTATACCACTGCAACCACTCTCTCATTAGCAGCCTCGCTGCTCTTACCATTTTTAATCTGCCACTTTACTGAGCAGTTACTATGGGCCACTCTGCATGCATTATCTCTGTAACTTCTCACAACTCCTAAATGAGGCAGGGACCACCACCATTGTCCATCCCCTTTACAGATAAGGGAAAGGATTCTGGTTTGGTGGTGGTGGTGGTGTTGTTTTTTAAGGGAAAGGATTCTTAAATCCTGAAGTGATTTGTCCAAGATCACACAACCAGAAGGTGGTGGAGCAGGGTGGAGCTGCAATGTGAACATGATCTGTCAGACATCAAGGTCAGTGCTCTGAACCAGCAGGTTACTTTGTCACTTAGAGGGAAAAGTAACTCTGACTGCAACAGGGAGACCATGGGAGGGAGGAGGGCCCACGTGAAGGCTTCAACACTAACGCAGCCATCCAGGTGAGAGCTGATAGTGGGCTAATCATTACCTACCTGAATGCTGCAAAGAATTCAAATTAAAGCCCCACTTACTTCAGGCGTGTGACTTTATGGAATGGGCTTGGTGGGCTTTGTATGAAGATGGCACAACCAAGTGTGCCTAGAATAGACCAAAAAGAAACCATCAGTTTAATACATTCTTCCAGAATAAAATGTTTAATTTAACTTCTCTGGAAATCTACATATTTCTACTCTTGCTGCCATTTATTAAGTGCTTCTGTGTGCTGGGAATTTATTGTAGTCTTGGTTACACTTCCAACAACCCTGTTTTATAAATGAGGAAAGTGACACCCGGGAAGATGAGGACAATTGCTTTGTGTTCCACGGTTAGTTAATGGCAAAGATGGGATCAGAACCCAAGCCAGTCTCCCCCGCCAAAGCGCCAACTGTAGAGTCCTCCTTCCAACACTCCACACAGGCTGTCGAGACCCTGGGGCGGCAATCAAACAAGGGCGCGCTCCCAGTCCCTGCGCTGCACCCTTAGCAAGGCGCTCACCAGCAGGGCTGAGGCTAACGAGATCGCCCCCCACCTCCCGCGCCCCGGCTTCAGGGGATGGCCACGAGATCCCCTCCTCCAGTCGTTCACGAGGCGGGAAGGGGGGTGATCCCGCCTTGTCACCCCTCTCCGAGGCCACCAGGACCCAGAGGCCCAGCAAACCCAGCCTCGAAGGGACGCGGAGCCGAGGCGGGCCCGCAGAGAGAGCAGGCAACAACAGCTCAGTCACCTGTCCCGTTCCTCCTCTCACACAATCCAAAGTCACGATGGTAGATCCTAAAGTGACCAATAGGGGTTTCTCCCCACTTGAAGCCATGATCTGGGGACCACGGATGGCCGTCCACGGGCCCAGGAGCCCTCCCTGCTTGCATGCAACCTGTGTGCCTTTTTTTTTTAACCAGGAGATGATCAACAGTTTTCCCGGATTTTCAAAGGGGTCATGTCTACCCTCCCTCCCCACCTCTGAAAATAAAAGTTAAGAGTCAGGACTTTAGGCTCTGTCGGCCCGAGCTGCGCTGACATCTTCACCTCAGTCCCACCCCCGCCGTCAGTCAGCGGTCCTTCCCGCTCTCCCCTCCGCCTGACGCACGCCTACACGCACGTACCCCCACACGCACGCGCTGCCATTCTCCACGCACACCTCCACACACACCCCTGTAAGTCGCCACACGCGCGCGTGGCCCCCACGCCCCTCCGCCGCCGCTGCTGTCGGCACCTCTGCGCACCTCTCCACGCATGCGCATCTCCCGCTTCCAGCTCGGGCTCCGTGGCCCAGCTTGTCCCGCGGCGAGTGCCCGCCCCAGCGCCTGCTCAGCTCACCCCGCCTGAGCCCGCGGCGGCCCCGCCGGCCGGTCTTGACTGGGCCGCCCCTTCCCTCCTCACATCCCAGGAGACACCGGGCGGGGCGGGGCGGGGCGGGGCACCTCCCACGCTCGGCCGCTAGGGTCTTCAGGCGGCGGGGAAGCCAGCCGCCGGGGCTGCGGGAACTCCCTCCATTTCCTGTCCCTCCGAACGCGGTAGGGGGAGGAGGGGGCGTTTTTCATCCGCTGGGAAACGCGCTCACCTGGTTCTCAAAGCTAGTTGGCCCTTCCTCAATTTCCCGCCAGAGGGAAGGGCTCCAGAGAGAGAGCCAAGGTCTTTGGGGCGGGGAAGGGAAAATGAGTCAGAGAAGAGGCGGCTCAGAGGGAGGAGCCGGCCTGGAAAGGGGGAGTACTGGGGGGGGGGGTACTGGGAGGAAAAGGGGAGGAAAAAAGAGAATGGGAAAGCCTTGGCGGGGGCGGTTTTGAGGGTGTCTGGCACAGTCCTGGGAATCCTTTCTGGTGAACCCCAAATCCTGGCGCCACTGGCCGGGATCATTTCTGAGGTGCTGGGCGTTAAACTCCTTTACCCCCGCGCCAGAGGCAGCTAAGGCCAGGAGCCTTGCTAGCTGCTCACCAGGCATCACGGAATCTACCGGTCTGGGCAAGGGCACAGGGATTAACTTTTCATGCTCTATGGAGCCAATAATAGTCTTTAGCTCCTAGGGTTGCTGGAAGGATTAAATTAGTTACTACATTTCAAATGCTTGGAATAGTGTCAGGGACGTGTAAGCAATCAGTGATAGCCCCTATTATTACAAAGGTTCATTCATCGGTGGTCTGTCTCCCCTCTAGATGATTATGAGTCTCATGAGGGCAGAGACTATGTGTTTCAGTCATCACTGGACTCCAGCCCCTGACACGAAGATTCTGTCAATAAACGATTCATTGAATGAATGAATAAGTGAGTAATTGCATGATAAGTGCCAAGACTCTCTCTCTTCCATGTAAGGAGTATATTTGTGGAAGTTTGAGGAAAAAAGGCTGTGATTGGGGAAGGTGGTGCATAGGACCCTTGTTCGTTTCTGTATCAAGTGTCCTGTTCTGCCTTTGGAAAGTGGAATGTCTTTGGCAATTTCCTACATGGATACGTGGAAAACTGTCAGACAGCTAACCTGAAATTTGAAACTGAGACCTGACTAACTAGAGCAGGATCTGTATTTTGTACAGTTAGTGAATAAAACGGGAAGAGGGCTGAAGTGGAAAGCTCAAAAATAATGGTGTCAAATATAAGTGGGCGAGACTGGCATGGGAGCTCTGAGTGAAAAGAAGTGTGTAAAAAGGAGTACAGTCACCTTGAAAAGGAGTCTGACGGAGGTCCCAAAGTAACAGCAATGTTATCTACCTTTCTGTTCTAGTCATAGGTTCCTGATGATCTGCCCTGATGTCCCAACATTCTTGGGGTAGGTATGCAGATTAGGCTCCTACTACTACATTCAGAAAATTTGCATTTATGGAAATGCCTACTGTTAGAGCTAAGAGGGACCTTAGAAATTACTCATACATTTCAATTTCTAGTTGAAAAACTAAGCCAGAGATAGCAAAGGACTTGGGCTTTGGGATTCTCTGGCCTTGGTACTGAATTTTGCCAGGTCTGAATTTATTGTGTGTCTTGTTGTTCCTTTAATCCCTGCCTCCACACCATCCCAACCCCAAAGACACTGAGCAGAGTGCAAGGACATGAATGGAAGGTCAGCAGAAGGGAGGGAGGGCGGGGAGTTCCTCAACAGACCCTGACTTTGCTTCCTTTGGCTTCCCCCGCACACCAGGGAAGGTACCTGGGTGTTCAGCTAGCTGCTGTACGAGAACAGCTCCTCCATGGCACCCAGGCAGCCTCACACTATCTACAGAGGTCCTGCAGGCAAAGGCTTGAACCATAACTAATCTGAGTCTTGGCAGAACGCCTGTGATCCTCCCAGGGCACTAGAGGATGGGAGGCCTACAAGGAGCTGCTTCAAGGCCACTGCTGCTTTTCTCCCGCTGCCTCCTTATCCCCCCATCCCCTGGAAGGCTGTCAAGAGTTTTTCATCCCCTCCCACCTCCTGGGATCTGATGAGATAAGAGACTTCCTGGCTCATCCCTCTCAGAATAGAGCTACATACTATAATCGGCTTCTTGGCAAAGGGATGTCCCACAACTACCATTGCAGTCCTCTGATCCCTTTTTTCCGGTGTCCTCCTTTTTGGTGTTTGGGACAGGGACCACTAGGAGCAGGAACCTTGGACTACTTTTTCTTTTGTTGTGTAAATAATAAACTGTTTGAATCAAACAAATGATCCATTGTACCCTTACCTGCTAAATCACTCAGGCCTTGGACTTGTGTGCTTGCCAGCTGCTTGATGTGAATTACACATTTCTGGTGTATCACCACACCCTCCCTTATCACCAAGGGAGTTAAGCTGGGCAAAAAGATGTGTAGATCATAATGGCTTTTTCCTGCCACTGGACATGAAAGAGAAAACCAGCCCAAATTCCATTTTCTGGGACTTCAATCTGGCTGGAGGAGTAGCAGATCCTCTGCATTCTGTGGACAAGGCTACCCTGACATAGGACATACACAGTAAATGCTAGTATAGTTAAAGTAGAAGTAGAGTTAAAGACAACCCAAATATGTCCCCTACAAGCCTGCCAGAGCATTGCTGGCTGACCCTTTCAAACCTGCAAGTCTACAGCTTGCCCTCCCCACCTTGTCCAAACCCCCAGATTGGACAACAAAAGCATTGTCTCTAGAAGGCTCCTGTTAACATTTTCTTATTTTCTGAGAAGGAAGGAAGAGGTAGAGTGAGAAGCTGGAGGAGGTGTGAATTTCCCCCATCCTCCTCCATTAGCACATTATCGATGGCTAATTTATTAGTTCTTGTAATTATTCCCTTTGAAGAAGACTGGCCTTAAACAATGGTTGCCTGTTACAAAGAGGCAATTGTGGGGATGCTGGACCAGAGATATGTGCCCAAGAGGGATTATACAAGTGGTGCTGTGAAGTTCACCTAAGACAAACTTCATAGTGTACAAGGTGGCCTGCTTGTCATTCTGCTTATCAGGTTCTATTTCTATTCAATCAGCATTTACTATGCATGTCCTATGTACAAGTCTGGTAAGAGTTTCTACTCTCACCCCTGTGTCTTCTGGAAAGGCTTCCTTTTTCAGCTACCTTGAGTAATTTGAGTTTGTAGGTTAAAAACTATCTGGGATGAATTATTGAATTGGATGCCCCACTAGATTATAAATGTTAGGAATACTTTTTTCATGTTAGTATGTCCCCCAGAGAAATGAGAGGAATACTGGGAACACAATGAATGCCTCTTGAATGACCCGTCCAGGCCAGTCACAATTGTAATTTGCATATCGTGCCAAACAGTTATAGGAAGACCACCTTGATCCTCCACCCCTGGAAATTCACAGTGGAGGAGAGTCATTCTCATTAGCTATCATGCTGTCTACATTTCCACTGCCATGTAACAACCGACTTGATGGCCTCTGTTACTCCTAATCTTTATAAACAGATCACCTCACCCCCACCTGCAGGCTCAGTTTCACTGGGACTCCAGGAGGAACCCTATTCCTAGGTAGGGGAACATAAAGAACCCCATATCTTCTCTGGCCTGGCCTATCAAATAGAACCAGACTTTCCAAACTTCACATCCCAATCTTAGCTGTGGGTAATAGCCCCATATTTGGCCTTTGCCTAGGTTGCTCTCCAGTTAGACCACTAGGGCCCTGATATTCCAAATTCTTGTCTCTTTTATATTTTAATCTTCTTGTATTGGGGCCATCATTTCTATAGGCCCTTGTTCTGACAACCTATTTCAAGTCACTTCTGGCCCTACTCGGACCTTAACCAATAAGTTCCAGTTGTGGGATTTTCTTTGTTATTCCTTAATTCCCAGTTTCTGCTTCAATCCCTAAAAAGTAATGTGCGTGTCTCTTTGGGCCTTTTACCTTCATTTCTTTAGTCTTCCTGACTGTTGTCTGCTCCTGGAAACCAGTCTTCATGATGGGATCCCGATTTCTGGACCCCCTGGATCTTCTCTGCCCAGATCTCTACCTTTTATATATCTGATTTCCCCCAAGTCATTTAGACAATTCCAGTAACCCACGGCCGTCTTTCTTTTCATCTTCCCCCAATTTAAACTCCAGTGAAAGACAGTCGAGAACTCATGAATACATATATATTTATTTAATTCATAATATAGCATTTTGGATGGCTGGGATATTTTAGAAGGATGAGGCTGTGTAATCCACAGATGCTCAGATTTCTGTCACTAGGAGAGACACTATTGGTCCAGAGCTCCCAGTACAAACAAGCCTGGGATAAAATATTCAATAAAAAATAGTCCGACAATAGTCTAATAAATATTCTAGCCAACAACAACAACACAGTATATGTCTGAAGCTGGCAGACCAGACCGTAAAAGGCAGTTTTACCTGCCCTGATGGCAGCCCACCTGGCCAACTTGTAATACACAGCCAAATACAGCCAACGGCTCCAAGGCTGCAATTGGCTTCAGGAATTGAAATAAGCATGGGAGTGGTTCTTATCTGTCAGCCTCACATTTCCATTCTGTAGAGGAAAGGGTATCAAATATTTGAGCTTATCAAAAAGTCCATCCATGGATTGCTCCATCCAGGTAGTCATATATAAATATGTAAACCATGGAAGCTTAGAAAATTCACCTAGTGTATTTAAGCTGAAAAGAACATAAAAGTGATTTTGCTGAAATCTGAATTTCACTGCATCCAAAGTTACACAATGGAATTACATGATAAAAACACATACAGATGCAGCAATTCTTACAAGTAGTCACAACTCCAATGTGGCATTAAAATTTCTTTCATATTCTCAAAACAGGTTTAACTTTATTTTGATTAATTTTGTGCTTTCTTCAATAAGACAATATAAAAAAGTGGAAACGAGCATAAATTGCAGACAGAAAGAATAATTTGCTAGCAGAAAGGATCGTAGGGGAATAGATTGAGTAGGGCAACAACAATGAAAACTGAGGGCGTCACCTTCCTTGAAGATGTTAAATTCAGGTCCTATTCCCTTTGTCCAACTGGGTTTATTTAGCTAGAGGCAGTCAATAAGGTCCCTGGCATTGCCACAATCTATGAAAGCCTTGAAGTCTCCAGGACTCACCACACTCCCCACAGGTGTACTTTACCACCATGTTGTTTCTTGGAAAGCACTTTTCATTATTTGGCTCAGAAACGTCATTGCTTACCTCAAACCCAGTTTAATTTCCTGCATTATTCAGTAGGTTAAGCTCTGAGTGATTTTTGGCTGTAGCCCAAACTTAAATCCACCTTCAAAGAACGAAGTTTGAAAAGACTGGAAAGTTCTTGAAAAGAATGGTGCCACATGCTCTAGACAATTCCCCAAGTTAACTTCCACAGAGCTTCTGAGGCAGACAATAGTCATTGATATGTATGAGTCCTGGGACATTTGCAAAAATAATATTAACATAGCCCAAATGGAGAAGTAACCAAACTTTTCTGCCCAGGAAATAACAAACACCGGTATGGATATCAGAGTACAACAGGGAAACTTTGCTTATTCATTCGTCATTCATACATTCATTCAATAAACTTTAGTCAGGCAACCACTCTGTTCCACACACCATGCTGAGTATTAAAAAATACAACAACAAAAGACACAGTCCCTGCCCTCAAGGTATTCACAGTCTAGTAGGGAAGATGATTATTATACATTAAACTTTTGTGTGCATCAGAATTACCTGGGAACCTGTTCAAAATGTGAAATTCCACTTATGTGCCCAGATAGTCCAATTAAGTAGATCAGGAGTGGGGTCTAGGATCAATTGTTTTAACAAACACCAAAGGTGACTCTAACAGGCGGTCTAAGGACCACACTTTGAAAAACACTGCTGTGCAAGGTGATTATTGCTGAGAAGGGGGTGGGGAACGCTCAGGGTGCCATGAGAGCTCAGATGAGAACATACCCCAGTCTAGGGGCGGGGGGAGGGGGGTCAAGAGTTAATCTGGTTGAGAGGGGTGGGGGGAGGGGGGTCAAGAGTTAATCTGGTTGAGAGGGGCAGGGTGGGGAAAGGTAGTCTAGGTAAGGTAGTCAAATGTAAGGAGGGGAAATTGAAGCTTTGTCCCAGGCCACTAAAACCTAAAGGGCACAAAAAAATGAATAGCTGGGGAGCCCCAAGGATAAGGTAAAGGGAGTTGGACTGGGGTGGAGGGGGTGTGTTCTGCATTTATAGCATTTTCACACGATTCCCTCAATGTCAGAACAATTCCTGTTCACTCTGGGCATCAGAACTCTTAGTAATGTTTCTATTCCAGGCCCAGAGAACAACTTGTGTGAAGAGTTGACCTTGTCTAGAGTAACAAGTGGAAGGAGGAAAGTGGCAAAGGATGGAGCTGAGAAAGCAAATGGGGACCTGAAAAGCCAAACCCTAAGTAAATGGGACCTTCTACTGAATGCTATGGGAGCCAGTGAGAGGTTTTCTGAAGGGGGGGGGTGGGGTGGGGAAATCATGTCTTTTGTTTAAAAACTGGGGGCTAAGCCCTCGAGGAGAGACCAGAGTAACTGAGAAATGAAAGGCATCATTTTAAAGCACTGCTACACTGCACTGGGACCGGGGCCGGGAGGAGGAGGTTAATATTTCTTGTGCACTTCACTACATGCCAGGTGCTGTGCTAGGCAGTTTACATGTGCTGTCTTTTGAAATCTTTGCAACAGCCTTGTGAGGTAGGTATTATTTTACAGAAGAGGAAACAGAGGCTCGGAGAAGTGACGTGCATACCCCAGGTCACACTGCTAGGAAATGGCAGAAGAACTAGGATTATTTTAGTCCAAAGGCTTTCCACGGCAGCAAGCTAGCTCCTGGCACTGCTGGATCTGACTGAGGTTGCTCCTTTCCTAATTAGCAGAAATGACATACAGTTTTTTCAAGCAAAAGGCCGATGTTGCTGCTAGATAACGTAAGTTTGAGCCTGCCCTCTATATGCGCATCAGTCCTGCTTTCCCTGTTAGGTGAACAAACAATACAAAGCTGTTATTTAGGGGATTTATATAGATACTTTGTCTCTCCTACAGAGTAGTAAGGCATCTGACAGCAAGGGACGTGTTTTTATCAATACATCAGCAGCAGAGTGGTACCCAGCATCTAGTAGTTTGTTGAATGAATGAATGAATGAATGTCCACCGAGGTGGTCGGAAGGAAGAGGGGAGACGTTTTGGCATTGTTTCAAGGCTCGTCTGGTGGCTTGGGACAGCTACCGCTTTGTACAAAAGTAGTATTTTTGCAACTCCCGAGAAGTAGACTCCTTGAGGTGGACTTATCTCCTGGGAAGGAGAAAGCTCTGGTTCTGACATCCCCAGTCCCTGCAGTGGAACTGACAAAAGCACAGACCGTAAAACTTGATGCCCTTCAACAATAGCGAGGAAGACCGGGATGGATGAAAGTTATATTTGCATTTGCCACTGAAGGGTCCGCTAAGCAGATGACTAGTGTAAACAAGATCGCAAGAGGAACAATTCTTTAACCTGTTTAGTAAAATAGACTGTTCTCCGGCATTCTGAAGTACTTCAGAAGTGTTTTATCCGAAAATACAAGTACATTTATATGCAAATGGTTGTTTCATCTAGAACACTCCATTCTTCCTGATTACGTAAATAAAGTTCCTAAAGAACATCCATTATGCAACTCTTTTTTTTTTTTTTTAGCCTAATTCTAGTAACTGTATGTATTTGAGAGTAATAAGACGGTATTTCTTTGAGACATTCTGTGACGGAATTTTTAACAATTCAAAGGAACCTCCTCCATTAAGTAGCCTCAGTGAAACTGTGCTTCTACTTGGATCAATTTTCTATCCAGCAATAGCATCTCTTGTGCAATCCTGTCCCCCAATCTCTCCTAATCCACCTTAGAGCTCTTCCGACCATCTACGTCATTATTGCACATGTGTGTGTGACAGGAGGGAGAATGGGACGGATGGATGGAGGGAGGGAGGAAATGTTGGCCTGATTTTGATGATGTTCCCTTTAGGGGACAAAAATGAATGATATAACTTATTTTTCCTTCCAGTATATTTCTCACTCAAATGAGCAAATCAAAAAATTTATTATGTATATATAATTATAAAATGAATACATAACATATATTATGTATTCATTTTATATATATATTATATATACACATACATGTTCTTCGTATAATAAATCCTTGATTGTAGGCTTTTTATCAAAAACTACATATAATATGTGATCCTTCGACACTTCAAAATTCTACTTGGCCAAACTGGCCAGTGCCAGAAAGGCTGACACCCTCCACACACACCTTTCCGGCTGGCTAGCCCCTTGTTCAGAGCATCTTTCTACATTATTTACTTAGAGTTATCCTAATTCCTTCCAATATCATTTATACTCCTAAATCACTGGGAATTTTTAATTCTCCAATGATAAGAGAGGTACTCTCTAAATTTCTCCTCCAATGGCTTGAACCCAGACTCCTCAGATAATTCGTTCTGAGAGACTCAATACATTAATTCGAATATAAGCGTTAATGCACGAAAATTAAATCTATAATATCTAGTTATTTTGGATGCTTCAGATGAACTTTATTTTGTGTCTTGTATATTGGACACTAACTGAGGTTTAGGAGGGGAAGAACTGCTGGACTGTAGAGCCAGTGAGTTATACACTCTCTGGAAGCTTAATGGCAAGCTTTCATCCCAGAAACATAAGGGGATTCTTGAGGCCTGCAGTTGCATTCCTGCCGCTCAGGATAATCAATAAAATCTGGGGCAGGCAAGCCAGACAGGATCATTAGGGATTTGTTCCAGATTGTGAATGTTGGGCAAACTGGAAGAATGAAGGTCACGTCAAAAGTATGAAGATGGAGAGAGTTAGCTGGGTCATAGAAAGACAGCATGTTGTTGTCATAATCCAGAAGAACACCGAGACGTTTCAACTGTGGGGGCACATCCACCAGCATTTCCTTGTTGTTATGTCTCACTACAAAGTTACTGTTGCATCGAGAGAAGACCCACGAGGAGGCATTCTTGCCAATCCATTCATTCTTGGGAGCTGATTTGTAGGCAATACCAATTGCATACCTGTGAGACCGTTGAAAGGAGAGAGAAACAAACACTTATTAATGATCTGAGTGGTACTAGGCACCATATGGGATATATAAGAAATCTGACGCATGCTTCTTCCTTTCCTAAATAGTTTACATTTAGACCCACAATGTTGATAGCACGAGGGCTTTACGAAATCAGCAGTTAGAGCGCTGGAGGAATTTCCAACTCCTGGCCCAGTGTATTTCCCAGGACTTCATATTTTTTTGGTTTTGTGACAGCTGGCCAATTTTACTAGGTGTGGTTTTCATCACCTGCCTCTTAACCTTGACCTGCGGGTACTATGTTTGTGCTATGGACCTGGATCTCCCAGGAACCTAATGGCAGGAAAAAGGGAGGAGAAAAAATAAGAGTGGGATCTACTCACCAGGTGGAGGAACCCATGACCACCTCCCAGTAGTGGCAGCCACTGTCAATGAATATATTTCCCGCTGCTCCGTAGCAGCCCGTACTACTAAACCTCTCCGGGGTATGGCTCTTCTTCAGAGAGCTCTCATCCTTCTCCATCTGCAGCCCATCATTGGAGATCTTCAACTTCTTGTGAGTCATTTTGGGATCCAGTTTAAAGGGTTGGCCTGAAAAAAAGTGAAAAAAAAAAAAAAGACAATGCATGGGAAAGTATTTAAGAATGCCATCTCTGTCCTCTGGGACTATTGCTACCAGGGGATTCTTGATAGGACGATCATTCTTGGGCCCATGCAAGTTGGCTGCTATTTGGATTATATTAAGGAAGTAGGGCCTGAAGCCACCATTTTCAATAAAACAAGAATAAGCTGCCTCCCTCAACGGGTTATCAAATTAAGAGGGGGCTCTCGGGCTTTCATGTTCTCAGAGATGTCTTATACTCTGCTTTATTTCAGTGGGTGGCTTGGGATCTGAGTAGGTCTTGGGGGAAGGAGTATTTGAGGTGAGACAAAGTGAGGGGAACGGCTGGTGGCAGAACAAAAAAAAAATGGAAGGACTCAGTGAAGACCATCTTTCTACTCTCTTACAATGGGGATGTAAATAACATATCATTAGGTAACTTCATTAGAGTGACTGATGCATCAGGAATGATCAGAGAAAACATTTGTTGTGTAGGATCATTCGTGACAGAGGATTCCTTATAACCATATGATGAAACAAATGACTAGAATCCAATTGCTGGGTATGGCAAGAGCTGTATTATACAAAATGGGTCCATGGCAGACACTGTTGGCGAACACACTCCCCCTTCTCCTCTTTCACCACAGAGGCCAGAAAAGCGAGATATTCTAGCCTCTCTTGCTGCTAGGGGTGGCTAGTAAGATGGAAGTAGATGGAAACAGAAGTCAGACAGGGTTGGGGACACTCTGGAAAAGTGCCAGGCTTTCCCAATAGAAGAGATAGCCATCCTGTGCACCAACCCTCTCCCCTTCTTCCTATCTTAAAAGGAAATATGGCATCTGGTGGTCACAAGGGCCGTATTGTGGTCATGTAACAGTAAGTCAATACCCAAAGGGAGAAGGAGCTTGGGTCTGTGACAACATCACAGAACCAGCTGCTGCACTGGCCCGAACTGCCTACCTTCAAGCTTCTCACTATGTGAGAAAGAGAAAAAAAAAAAAAAAACTATTTGTTTTTGCTACTCACAAATACTATTTGTTAAGCCGAGTTAGTTGGATTTCCCGTCACCTTAGGTCAGAAGCATTCCTAACAGGGATGGCTTCTCAGCAGAAGGATTCTACCAGATTATTCCAAACAGTACTGTCTTACACAACTGTTCCCCTAGCATGGGATGGGGTGCAGAGAAAACCCGTTTACTAACACCCTCCCCAAACACCAGCTACTACTACATATACTTTGTGTACATCTTTGTGTTCATGTATTTCCCAAGGGCACCAACAAACCCTGCGCCCAAAGCATAGACTATTAAAGCTCCTCTACTCAGCGCCTCCGCTCTCTTGCACTGCTGTGGGTCCCTGCGGAGGGGAAAACGGAGCTCTCCTTTTGGAATCACCCCAACGTACTATTTGTTTTTAGTCGGGTGGGTTCACTGTTCCGGCTGCCTGCTTGGTTTATGGCTTTAACAATGAAGATGTAGCGGGTCCCGCTCTGAAGTCCATGCACTGTGTAGTGGTTCTGTTTAATGTTGGGCACAATCATCCAGCTATCCACTGAATTGTACAGGCCTGTGGAGGGAGGGAGGGAGACAAGGACATTAACCAGGAGGTAATAGAGATAGGATGAGAAGCACATTGAAAATTCATCAAAAGCCCCCCTGACCTCCGCTACCACCACCACCAAAAAAAAAAAAAAGTGAATTTCATTTTGTTTTCTTTTGAGTCCCAGGCGACAGAGTGAACTAAATATCTCCTGTCTGTTTCCTCCCACGGAGCTAGGCTTACACCAGGCTCCTTGCCTCTGGCAGTTGAATGCCACCACTAGTGAAAATTAGGTGGCTTCAGTTTTCTGCCCGATAACATGGGAAAAGCCACTCTACAAAAGTCACAGAATCATCACTTTCATGGAGTCTCTGGATCTTTACACCCAAGGTCCAATCCTCTGACAGCTGAGCCTGGCCTGGTATGGATGGAGAGGCGCTGGGCAGAGAGCACAGGAACATGGAATCTCAGAGCCAACAGGACACCTACACGCCCTATTTCCCTCATTTTACAAATGGGAAACTAAGATTGAGAGAAGAAAAGTGACTTGCCCAAGGCCACAGACAGATGGTGATGGTGCTGAGTATAACCCTGGTCTCTCACCCTAGTCCACTGCGCTCTCCACTCCGTGACAATTCAGGAGGTGTACACCATGTTGCTTTGTCCCTGCAAGGTAGCGAAGCTTTCAGGGCTTATGGCTCATCTCTCCCACCCCCTCCTGGGCTCCGAGGTATCATAGAGAAGCCAAGGAGATGGCATGAGAACCAAAGCAAACATTACCGTCTCCTCACTTTTTGCCCCTTCCTGGTTCTAATACCCATTTGAGGTGGGGTGGTCCAGGAACACATTGTTGCCTGGAACCTTCTTTCCTCCCAAACTCAGAGATCTAGGTTTCTGCTTTCAAAACTCTTTGGACCATAAACACTGACTTAAACAGAGAAAAATGTGCATAATTAAAAACATGTATTTGGCTAACTGTGAGTAAAAGAGGAGTTGACGTTCTGGTTTATGAATTATCGAGGTTTCTCTGTTCTGTTATCTGCTTTTCAATCAGTTTACTGCTTTTTAACCACCATTCTAGCAAAGCATGCAAAGGAATGGGCAAGGAAAATGAGCAGTGAATTTAGTCACTTCTATGCAGCACTTGTAAAGGAATTAGTGAGGCTGAAAATTAAAAATAATCATGAGTGTTTTAGAAAAAAATAATAATCATGAGTGTTTTGAAAGAGATCTGATCATGAGGTCTTTATAATGAATTTGGTGGGAAGTTGAAAAAGTCTCAAATAAAACTAGAAAAAGAAGCATAATGGAGGGCAAACAGAGATGTTCTAGAAAGAATAACTGGTGAAGATGCTCAGTCATGCTCATGAAAAGAGAAGAAGGATAAGGGCCAGGAATAATGTTGGAGGGCTTGGTTATCCATGTACCAATTCACAGTATGAATCATAAACTGCACACTGAATTTTAATACAGAGAGAAATAAATGGTCTTCCACATATGCTTCTAACAATACAAAAGACCGAACTTCACAATGAAGTACTATGTAGCTATGAAAAAGAATGAGGAAGATCACAATTAACTGATATGGAATGATTTCCAGGGTATACTGTTAGTTGAAAAAAAGCAAATTGCAGAAGAGCATGGATAGTATGCTATTCTTTTTTTTTTTTTTTTTGCAAGAAAGAAAGGCAAATAAGAGAACGTACATATATTTGAAGTCGGTGGGCAAAGGGATGGGGTAAGGGCATGGGATTAAAAAGATAGGGGAGAGAAGGGCACTTGTTTGAATACACCTTTTCTGTCTCGTTTTCCCTTTGGGAAACACCCTGTTGCCTTACGAATTCAGAAAAGAGCAATTAAATCAATACGAATGGGAAGAGTGGGGACGAAAACTGAAGGCAAGTGAAACAAATGAACCCAACTGCACTTCAGATGAAAAACAACCACACCAAGGGGAAGGGGGAAGGAGGAAGACTGAAAACAAATCCTGAACTATTGTTTGTTTCTGTCATGGTATGGGCAAAGCACTTCTGAAACTGTTAGATACATTACGGGATTAAGCAAATGAGCACGTGTGTTGATGTCGTTGGGAGCCAGGGTTCTCACTGTGAAGTCGGAACATACCAATATGGAACGGGGGAAGGCAAGAAAGAACCCGTGAGGATGGACTGGAATTGGAGGTACTGGTATGAACTCTTGATTTCTATAGATGTGTGTGTGTGTGTGTATCCATATGTGCACATATGTTAGGTGTGTGCGTTTGTATATTATGCGTGTGCATATGTATACATACATGGGTACATGTGTGTGTTTCTAGTACCCAGATCTTGTTCTCTAATAACATCCTCCCATTAAAAGGAACCAGGGTTCCTTGGGAAAATGGCTGATTTCAAGGCTAGGGCAGGAAAAGGTCAATATGAGCCTAGAATCTTTTGTTCTGCTAGAAGTAAAGTGCTCAAGAAAATAATGGGAGAATTTAAGGACCCAGGAGTCAGCTTAAACGGTCCTTACTGGCTCAGTCTGGACAATCTGAGCATCAAAATAAGCAAGGGCAGTAAAGAATTATAAACCACTAAAGAAAGAGAATTCATGAGTCCATACTGAGTAGATAAATAGAGGGTGGGGCTTTTGCTTACAGTAGAATGCAGAGTGCCAACTAATAAATGGGGGAGGGAACGCTCATTTGGAAAATCATCATTTTGCAATCATCAGAGTAAAGACTGGACCAGGCAAGGATTTTTGACTGATACTAAAACAGGAGTGGGGGCAGGATGGGTTTGATGAGGAAGCAGGACATTTTCATTGTCTCAAAGTATCACCACATGGATTGCTTATTAGTTGCAAAAAGAAAAATAGTAACTACGTGGTGAAGAAACCCAGCAACGCCTTCGACCAGCTGAACAAAATTAGTATCCCCAATGAAGGGCAAGTGGATATCACATGCCTCTACATGTGATGTCCTAAGGAGGATGCAACATCTCCAGTGCAGTATTCCAGCCATGAATGCATAATCTGAATATAAATCGTGAGGAAACATCAGAGGAACCCAAAATAAGGGACACTGTAATAAAGAAATAAAAGGGGATTTTAGATGTCAATGTCGTTAAAGACAAAGAAAGGCTGAGGAAGTGTTCCAGATTAAAGGGGGCTAGGGATAATTACAATTAAGTGCAATACCCGATCCTCGACTCTAAAGGACAATATCGGGTCCTTTATATGTTATAAAGGGTGCTATTGGGTCAACTGTCAAAATTGGAATATGAATGGCGATGAATGGCGGGATCAGAAAAAGTATTATATCAAATCTCTTCAAGTTGATAACCACACTGTAGTTATATAAGAGTTTCCTTATTCTTAGAAAACCTACACTGAAGAATTTAGTGGTCAAAGGTCATGATGTATGCAATTTACTCTCAAATGGTTCAGAAATAGAGAGAGATGGGGACTTCTAGCAAATTATAAAGGAAATGGGACAAAATATTAACAACAGATGAATCTGGGTAAAGAGTATATGGGCATTCTTTGTGCTACTCTTACAACTTTTCTGTAATTTTGAAACCATTTCTAAATTTTGAAAAGGTAAAAAGAGGATTTTCTGGGTATCAATGGGACTTGGCGAGATGGGGTTGAGGAGTGAATTCTGGTAATGGAAGTATATACCTTGTTCAAACGGGAAAGACCACAATATGGAAATCCATGAACCCGAGTCTAAATGTGTGGTGGAGAACATTTGCATGGAAATGAAAAGGAGAGGAAACAGAAGTTTTATCTTGGTGGCAGTATGTTACAGGCTGCCTGGCCAGACAGAGGGTATAGCCAGTGCTTTCAAAATGCAAAACACAAAACTGAAATAGAGGAAAGATAGACAGTAATGGGGAAGACAATCAGCCAAACATCTGTTTGAATTCAGCTAACAGCATCATCGGAAACATTACTGGCTTGTGACCATTCCAAATCTTAGAGGAAGAGGGGAGATAATTACAGATGAAGGGAGAAAGCTGAAAGAAAGAAAGAAAGAAAAGAAAGAAAGAAAGAAAGAAAGAAAGAAAGAAAGAAAGAAAGAAAGAAAGAGAGAAAGAGAGAGAGAAAGAAAGAAAGAAAGAAAGAAAGAAAAAGAGAAAGAAAGAAAGAAAGAAAGAAAGAAAGAAAGAAAGAAAGAAAGAAAGAAAGAAAGAAAGAAGGAAGAAAAGGAAGGAAGGAAGGGAGGAAGGAAGGGAGGAAGGGAGGGAGGGAGGGAGGGAGGGAGGGAGGAAGGAAGGAAGGAAGGAAGGAAGGAAGGAAGGAAGGAAGGAAGGAAGGAAGGAAGGAAGGAAAAGCAAAAAGAAAAATAAGGGGAACAGCTTCTCCAGACAAAATTTTAGTCGACAAGGAAGAAATTTCTGGTTAAAGAAAATGTGGAGTTTGATTATTTTAAGATTCCTCATATAAATGGTATCACGTAGTATTTGTCTTTCTGTGTCTGGCTTATTTCACTTAGCATAATGCCCTCCAGGTTCATCCATGTTGTCACAAATGGCAGAATTTCCTTCTTTTTTAAGATTGAACTATATTTTATTATATGGACATACCACATTTTCTTTATCTGTTGATCTGTTGATGGACAACTCTTTGAATGCTGATTATATATCAACAAAGTGGTTTAAGAAGAGAAAATGTGGAAAAAACCTCAAGGGAAAGTAACTCTCAGAGCCAAGGTTCAATCAACAGTGGCAGAACAGTGGTAGGCCAGACCGACAGATAAGGGTAGGACCTTGAATCTTCATGAATATTCCCAGTAAAATAGTCTCATCTTTTTTTAAAAGATTTTATTTATTTATTTATTTATTTATTTATTTATTTATTTATTTATTTAGGTGGGGGGCGGGACAAGCAAACTCCCTGCTGAGCTCGGAGCCCAACATGGGGCTCGATCCCAGGATCCTGAGATCATGACCATGAGCTACAATCAAGAGTCAGAGGCTCAACCTACTGAGCCACCCAGGGGCACCTAAAATAGTTTCATCTCATCTGCCCATTGCCAGACAGAATTTTGCTCAGGGCTCTGTCTCTATCCTATTCCACTTGACTGGAAGAAGACAGAGAAGGCAGGCTGGGAAGGCAGAAACTGGATTTAAAAGGATTTTGGCAGGCTGGAATGTGAAGTCAAAGCTAACCAGAAAAAATGTAATAGGGATGAATTCAAGGTGTTGCATTTCGGTTTAGACAATCAAGGATTTGAAAGACCTAGGGATTCCAAGTGACTACATGCTCAGTAGTCAATACTCAGTCGTCAATGTGACTACTGGAATAAAAAGGTTCGGGGCTGGGGGGCATCAGCTAATGTATAAGAGAAATAATCCAGCTGTCTTCTGTGGTGGTCAGACCACTTTTGGAGTACTGTATTCACTTTTTTGACAGCGCATTTTTTAAAGATTTTATTCATTTATTTTAGAGAGAGAGCACAAGCGGGAGAGGCAGGGGGAGAGAGAATCTCAAGCAGACTCCATGATGAGCACAGAGCCCAATGCGGGACCGGATCCCAGGACTGAGATCACGACCTGAGCCAAAAGGAAGAGTCGGGTGCTTAACCAGTTGAGCCACCCAGGCGCCCCTTGACAGTGCATTTTATAAAGCACTTTGACACACAGGAGTGTGTTCCTAAAAAGGATACCATGACAGTAAGGGGCCTGAAACCATGTCACATAAGGAGCGATTCAAAGAACTAAGGATGTTTAGCCTGGAAAGGAGAAAATTTAGACGGGACGTACATGAGAGCTACCTAACGTTATCTGAAGAACTGTCATGGAGAGATGAATCAGGTTCATTAGCGAGGCACAAAAGGGCAGGACTGGGACTAATCAGTAGCTGTGGGTTTAATTCAAGAAACATTAAGCTTGAAGTCTGACAGGCTTGCGTTCAGACCTTGACTCCATCAGTTTGTAGCTCTGTGACCTTGGGCAACTCATTTCATTTGAACCTCAGCTTCTTCATCCATAAAATAGAATTAGTATCATCTATTTCATAAGGCTAAGGAAGAACGCATGAGGACTCAGTGAGATGATGTATGTGGGAGCGTTTATAAATGACAAAGCAGAATGCACGTATCAATTCTTATTGTCGTTGTTATTTACCAGGAGGAAGAGTTAGGCCCTCCATAAGGAAGCCCTGACAATTTGTTTATAGCTGCACAACGAACTGAATGAGTTATTTTGTTAGAAGTGGGCTACCCATCCCTGGAACTGGAAATGTTCCAGTAGAGACAGGACAATCATCCACTGGGTGTCTGGTAGAAGGGAAGAAGGTTAGCTTAAAGACCGTCCAAGGTTCCTTCCAATCCTAAGGCGCTATGATCCTATTGGCATTAAGAATTATCCTTTAAGTTCTTCTACAAAGGACTATATATCTTTGAAAAGGGAGAGGACAGCCTTTAGATCTTTGTCGCTTGCACTTATGTCTCAGCTCCCTGGAGACCACTGCCTTCCCCCTCTCAGGAAGGAGAAGCTCAGTTGCTGGCTGTAAGACTTGCCAGAGCAGGAGACAGACAGACAAGGGCAGGAAAGCATGTCAGAGAGGCCTTAGAGTGTGTGACTCCGTAAGCTGAAAAAAAAAAAAAAAAAACACCTAGGAGCACAGCTGCCCAGGCCAAGTGGCTTAGGTTGGAGCTGCACGAGGCAAGTGTTTTTCGAGTGTGACCCCCAATGTCCTCTCACCTCCCCAGCCCACCATGTGGCCCAGCATTGGCACCAAACAGGAAAAGGAAGCCTATTGGGAGGGTTTCATTGGGAAAATTCCCCTCGTGTGGGCCTGCGAAGTGAGACACGGAAGCACAAGCACAAAGGTAAAAGAAATTACTACTTTGCAGCTCTGCGGACTAGGGCGGGAACCCAGGGTGCACCTTAGGGTGGGAACCAGTTCCGGTCTTGAATCCCGTTTTAATTCTGCTTTCCAGTTCTCCCCCGCACAGGGAGGGGAACTCACAGCCGGGTCCCTCTTATCTAGCCACCGATGAGTCAAGTTTCTATTCTGCCTCGTCTTGCTCCAATTCATCAGAAGGTGAAACCATAACATGTGAGCCCAGTGACTGCTTTTTGAACAGATTTCATTTTGTGGCCCACTGACACTTTTTTTGTATTTGGTGTCATTCTCGGAGGAGGGGGAGAGGGGGTACAGTGACAAAGACAGAAGGCTTATCACTACAGTCGCTGACACAAATAGGTCCGGGAAAGGAAGTAGTCATCCTCGAACGTGATGTATTTTATCACGATAATGCAGTGGAAGAAGAGCCGAGGAGAGAGATGTTCACACACACAGAATCAGCAATGACGGTGGCGTGGTTACCCAGGAATGAATTCTGCACTGGGTTCTGACTCAGGATGAGTAGAGTGACATGGATGAACTGAGGAAAGGCCGAGGATTACATACACAAATGGGAGTGGCCCCCGTGACTGCCCCAGCAAGGAAATACACACCTTGCTTGTCCACCCAGTAATATGGTCTTTGCAATGCCCTGGGGGAGCTTGCACTGTCTACGAGAAACACTATACTCAACAACCTAACATGTCTTACAAACACTTGCCTCGTGGCGCCCCGGCCAATCTTGAGCAGCTTACTGCTTCCTTACATTTCCTTATCTCTGGCCACAGGCCCCAACTACACCATGACTTACTGATGAAGTTAGCCTGGCCAGTGAATATGGTGTACTGAAGCTCATAGGAGCTGATGCTGAACTCATCATCCGAGATCCAGTGGACTGTAATGGTGTCATGGGAGGCCGTACAGAGCTCCTCTCGGATAGATGGTGGGTTTGGGGCTGTAAGGAAAGGTGGGAAAGCAGGTGAGAAAGGCACACTCTCTGTTCTGACACGTTAACGATTGGCACTCTTGCTGCCCAACTCAACATCTTGTGGTGAGGAGGTTCTCTTCGTAAAAGAGAAGCGTTCGATGGAAGCCACGTGCTGAGACCTCCAGCGGTCACGTGGTTTTCTTATTGCATGACCTTCGACCTGTTTCTTTTTATTTTAAAAAAGTTTTATCATTTATTCTGGGCAGGATGGCCAAGTGCAAATTAATATGCATTCCCTCGTCTGTGAAATAAGGGATGATTGATCATTACCTCACAGATCTGTGGTACATATTTATACTATAAAATTAATACACAGTGCCTGGCATAAAGTAGTTGTTCAATAAATGACAGTTATTTTAATATGTTGACAAAAATAAGACCAATGCAAAGTTATTGTACGTGTGTATTTTTCTCATGAGGTGGCCATTCAATAATCCTGAAGGTAGCCAGCATTTTTCATAGGCTGTTTGCATCCCTCATTTCCTAAAATTGTTACATTTTTCGTCCTAATCTGCCAGATCCTCAAATTTCCTTAAAACAATTTGAATGGTACCTGTACCTATGCGGGACATTCTTTTATATTCCATAATTGCCACCTGATTTCTAACTGCCTCAACAACAAGCAACAATATATTGCTGATAGGCTCATAAGGAGAAATCCATCAGCAATGTCTTGTTTTTTCTTGACCTTTAGGTATGATGGTATACCCGTCTGCCCCCAGAAATATTTGACACATCATCTTTCTTTTCTGTTACATGAGCTAAAGTATATTCTATCTAAAAGGATACATGTATTGTCTTAAAGGTTATAAAAGCGTTTTCATTACAAATATTGTCCTGTTCTGATTACCTTAAAGTAAGAGAACACCAAAAGACAAGCATTAAAATGGGAAGGAAACCACAGTATTTTCACACCTGTTAAATAATCTAGCCCCTCCAGCAATTTCTTTTCTCTGGAAAAATCTAAAGCAAAGTTTTCAAAGGCATCATTAAAATTGATGTCTGGAATCAGAACTTGAGAAGATGCTGTTGCCATAGCGACCCTGGAAAAGAGAAAAAGTACATCAATATACATCAAAATCGGTTTGCAACCTTTATTCAGTGTTTGATTTCTGGTTCAACAAGGTGAAAATAAATGACTCATAGGGCTTAATTCATTAAATGAAAAATATCATATCTGTGCTTTTCGAATGGAAACCATTTAAAATTTAATCATCAGGAACCAACTAAGGGTTATACCATATTTATTCACATATGTTCACCCCTCAAACACACTCCCCCATCCTGTCTTAATTTTGAGAAGTAAATACAGGATTTTTTCCCCTCTGCATCATTTTCCATCTGGCAGGCAGCATCAAAACTAGACCTCTGAAGGCTTGGTAAGAGCAGTTTGAGAGATTTTTTTTCTCCCCCTCCATGTTTTTTTATGCTAATAAACAAGCCAGCATGCTGGGGCTGAGTTCAAGCCTTCACCTGAATACTGTACTTTAGTCACTCTTTTAAAACATTTGAATTTAATTTTATTATTATTTATTATGATTATATAATGCTATGCTAGTTTTATCTCCCCAGCTAGTTCTAAGCATCTCAAGAGCAGGATTTATATTTTGTACCTCTCATATCTTCCATGGTCTGTAACACAGTGTTGGACACATGGCAAACAATTGTTGAGTGAATAATGGAATGACTAACAACAACACAGCTGCTAACATTTACTGAGCATTTAGTAGATAGAAGAGACCATGCATGTACTTTATGTACATTGTTTAATTTACCTCTTGCCATAATCCTGCGTAGTAAATGTTATTTCCATTTTGTAAATGACAGTGAGATATAATGTAAGCAAGAAATGGCACACAGAAAGCTTAACTAACTTGCCTAAAGTCACACAACCAGTAAGGGTCAGGAAAAAAAGAAATATAACTGAATCCATGTTCATTGGATTCTAAGCTCTATACCCTGAACCAATTTAGACAGCTCTTTAAAAAAAAAAAAAAAAAAATTAGGTAAACTCTTTTGTGCTTCAGCAATTCTTAACCATGATTACACATCAGAATTCTCTCGGAGAGTTTTGACCAAAGCATACATGTTGAGGCCCTGTGACAGACCTTCTGAATCAGAGCCAATGAAGATCCTTGAACATGCAAATGACGGAATGGAAAGAAACATTAATTTGGCGACAATACGCAGGTAGAATGAAGGGCAGATGCACTGAATGTAAGAAGGCCAGAGAGGAAACTTCCACGGTGAACTAGTTTTAAGGGGTTGAGGAGTTAAACAAACATATATCCTCATGCATGTACACCCTGCTACACTTCTACCAACAGGAGCTCTTGGCTGTTTGTGAAAATAGAGATGATTTAGGAATAAACTGTAGGCCAGGATAAACAAATGAAAGACTAGCAGTATAATCTTCAGGTCTCATGCTGAATGGCCCCTCTTCCAGGATTTGATGAGTAAGAAGACAACAACCCCTACAGGGCAAGAGTTAAGGCAGAAAATTGGCTCATGAAATTTCTTCCTGGCCTCCCCAATCTTCTTTCTTCCAACCATCCATCCATCCCTCCAACACTCACTGAGCACAACGAATGTGCCAGGCCCTGTGCTAAGCACACTGGAGACACACAGTTGGGGTCCTCGCCCTCACGAAGTTCACAGTTCATGGAGGAGAAAGATACTAAATAGGCAATAGACGTGCTGCTACAAAGGGACTGTAACATACACAAAACCCACCTGGCAGGGACTTGGGCACTAAGGGAAATCTCCCCAGAGGAAGTTCATTTCACACAATGACCTACACAATGAGTAGGAGTTAGGTAAGCAGAGACTATGTGGATGTGTGTGTTCTCCCTTGCCTGGAGAATTAGCAAAGTCATGCAGGGTCCTGTGGGCCATATTGCAAGCTTTGCACTTTATCCGAAGAGCAGTGTGGGCACCTGAAGCACTTTAGGCAGAGAAGTGAGGCTCAAATTTATGTTTAGGAAGAGTACGCTGGCTGCAGGGATGGACTGGAAGGGGTCAAAACTGGGGGCAGAACAGATTTTAAGGTGTCTAGGAATGAGCAAAAAGGAGAGTAGTGAAAGGAGCATAGACAAATAAAACATAAAGTTAATTCACACCATATGAAAACAAATAGGCAACAAATATATTTCAAAGCCCGGGATGCCTGGGTGGCTCAGTCGGTTAAGCGTCTGCCCTTGGCTCAGGTCATGATCCCAGGATCCTCAACGGGGAGCCTGCTTTTCTCTCTCTCTCTCTCCCTCTGCCTCTCCCCTGGCTTGTGCTCTCTCTCTCTCTCACTCACTCTCTCAAATAAATAAATAAAATATTTTAAAAATATATTTAAAAGCCCAAGTACATGAGGAATCAAATAAATGTAAATTAAAATGAGATAGCATTTAAGATTATAAATAATGACAATTATATAGGAGCTTTTTATGCCTGTATGAGATAATGCCTACATATTTTATTAGGACTGAAATTGATAATAAATTTTGGAGATCAGTTTGGCATTAAATACCAACATGATTAAAATGCAAATATTCTTTGACACCACAGTTCTACTTCATACATTTTTTATTAAGGAAATAACTGAGGTGTAAGCAAAGATACAGCTGTAAGGGCATATCAGGTTATCCAATAATATCCAATGACAGGGACAAGTTCATGATATATTGTTAAATTTAAAACATAGAGTATAATGAAGTATATGCAGGATGACCTTTTGTTTGTGAAATAGATATCAAATCTAGGGGCGCCTGAGCGGCTCAGTCAGTTAAGTGTCTGACTCTTGGTTTTGGCTCAGGTCATGATCTCACGGTCGTGGGATCAAGCCCCACATCAGGCTCCATGCTCAGTGCAGATTCTGCTTCAGATTCTTTCTCCCTTCCCCTCTGCCCCTCCCCAGTCATGCACTCTTTCTCGCTCTCAAATAAATAAAAATCTTAAAAAAATAAAATAAAAATCTAAATATTGGGGTACTATACTCCCAAATGTTAACAGTGGCTGGAAAGTTAAGGATGAGTAAAAATGGCATTGGGGTATATGTAAGTGTGTGTTTCTATGTTTAATATGTTTAAGCAAAACATTAGTTATCTCTCAAGGACAATATGGTAAGTGTCATTTGTAAGGGGGAAGGAATACTCTCCCAGTGGAAATTTCATTTTAACTGAAGTCTTGGTCCATAATAGATTATTACAATTATTATTGGTGGGGAAGAATTTCAGACCCTGTGAGAAACCGCTGATGAAGATATTTAGGTTGGGCAGATGATTCTCAAGACAGAAGAGAATAGCCTAAAACAGAATCATAAAGAACAGCATTAAAGGAATAGGTCAAAGGTGATTTGCTCCCAAAGGCAAAAGAAACTAGGTAGGTAGGGAGAAAAGCAGGAGTGTTCATGGAGGCTAAGGGCAGAGAAATTTCAAGTAGGAATCATCGTCAGTAGGGACAAATGCTACTGAGTGATTAAGTAAGATGAAACAGTAAGATAAAACAAAGGAATGTCGATTAGATTTAGCAACAAGGTATCCATTTGGTGACCTCGGGAAGAACACTCAGGAAACTAGGCAGAAGACATTTCAGAGAGTTGAAGAGTGAGTGAGGATGATTAAATACAATGGTTTAAATTTATGTTTTATCTCTGCTCTCATGAAATACCACTGAAATGACAGTCAAAGAATAAAATGTCATAAACCCACAAAGACAAAGAGAATGGAAAAAGACATGCCAGCAAGTGAGAGATTGTCAACAAATGTTTGGAAGCTAGAAAGGGCTGGATGAGCGGTAACCAACAACAGACCAGAGAAAGCTGGGTCAGGAAGCCAACAACATCAAGCTGATTTTGTGCCGCCGACAGTTGAAAGTTTGTATGAAGAAGAGCTAGAGCCCAGATCCACTCGGCCAGAGACTACTCCTCCCTCGTCCTGGCAGGAGATGTGAGGTTCACTTTCCGCAGAGCTTTGACGTTGTACCAAAAGCAGTCTTAAAACCCTCAGCCACTTTTCCTTGCTTGGCTCCCAGAATGGTGGGAGCCAGGCTTAATACCCCTCCTCCCCCGCCAGAAGCAGGAGATTGGTGAATTCCTTCCAGGGGAAACTGACTGAAGAGAAAACATTTACAGAACTGACACTTGGGTCCCCTCGGTAAAAATCCAGCATTCCACCTTATTATCGTATAGTGACGTTCACGATGCAACAAACTGTTCCCATCCCCTCAGATCTTGCAGTCACCCTCTAGTGCTTAAATTCCAACAGGCAGCCAAAAGCTTACCAGACATTCAGGGAAAGACAGAAATTAAAACAAACTAAGAGAGAAAAGGAACTTGGGGGAGACCAAAACAATGCAGAGTTTAGAAGAAGCTTTTTAAATGACTGTCCATGTCTTCAAGAAGATAAACAAATAGTTTGCATCCACAAAGCAAGGACAGAATGCTAAAAAAAAAAAGAAGCCAAGATCAAGAAAGAGCTCTTATAAATAAAAATAAGAATGCTGAAATTAAAATTTTAATAGACGGACTGATGAAAAATTAAGGAAACATCTCAGATAATAGAACAAGAAGACAGTGTCATGAAAACTAGGAAATGAAAGATTTTAAACATCAGAGAGAAAATCTAGAATGTCCAACCTCTGACTAATTAGAGTCCCAGAAAGAGAGAAAAGAGAAAATAAATGGGAGGAAATTGTTAGTGAATAATGTAAGAGAATTTCCCAGAGTGTAAAGTCAGTAGGCTCCAGATTGGAAAGACCTACTTAGTGCCCAACAAAAATGAATGATAAAAGACCCACACCAAGGCATATCTTGGAAAAATTTCAGAAAAACTGGATTAAAGATAAGACCTTAAAAGCTTCAAATTTTAAAATATAGGTCACATTTAAAAGATCAGGAATCAAAATAGCAGTGGGTTTCTTAGCCCAACACTGGAAGTTAGGAGACAATAGACCATGCCTTCAAAACTATAAGGGAAATTTATTTCCAACTTATCAAATGTAAATTTCAAATATTTTTTAAACAAAAAGTTCTCAAAAACTTACTTCCCATGTA